GGCATGTCAATTTACTACAGACAGCTCATGGTGGGCCATTTTGACAAAAGAACTGGATCAGGTTACAGCCTGTTCCTATTATCAGCACAGTCCAGATTTATGGTTTCTAGCACCAGCCCCACAAGAAATAATGGAAATGATGACAACAATCCCTGCTAGACAACAGACTGCAGAAAAGCATGCAATAAACCAAAATCTAGAGTGACCCCAAAACTAAACATCCTTGACAATACTTCAAATATGAGACAGGTGTCAGCAAATTACTCATTTAAATATTTCTATAACTTTTCAAAATCTCAACACACACACACAGTCTCAAACCAGTTTTTAAAGTAAACTAAGACCAAGCAATATGTAGATGTACTTGTTATTATTGAATACTACACATCTCAAAGACTACCAAAGACTTTCACTTAATCAGATTTATTAAACTCTAGAAAGGTAAAAATTAAACACTGCTTACTACTTTTAAAACTTTAAAGTATATTGAAAAACTTCCAAATAGGACCAAGGATTTAGCTCAGCGCTTCCACTGCCTGCCTCACAAGCGCTAGGTCCCAAATTTGATCCCCGGTACCAAAAAAAAAGGAAAAACTTCCAAATAATACTTTTCAAATGTTTCAAAGAAAAAAAAGACAACAGCAAATGGCTGTTTCCAACTATATTCAGAAATGTAATGGAACTGAAAAGATGAAATACATTTGATTTACTGAAAATAAATATATAATCACTGAGTGTGTTGACACACACCTGTAATTCTAGCCCTCTAGGAGGCTGAGGTAGAAAAATTTGAAGTTTGAGCCCAGATTAGCAAAACCCTTTCTCATAATAATGAGTGAGGATAGAGCTCAGTGTAAAGGCCCTGAGTTAAATCTCCAGTATTGAGGGGAAGAAAAAAAAAAACAATCAAAATCTTAAACCAGCTAAAACTAATGAAAGGCAGGAAGTGACCAAATATTAAAAAATAAGGATTTTGCAAATACACATGCTTAAGTAACTATGACATAGTTATAAGATACATACCAAACAGAGCTATTTATGTCTAGAATTCTGCACCAGTTAATCCTTTTAAGAAACAGAGGGTGAGTAAAATCAAATGTATATTCTAAATACAAAAGGCAGAAAGACACACCAACTTTTCCCAGAGAGTAGAAGAATGCATCCTCAAGGTATGCCCTAGAATTGCAATGTATTTGTCTCATCTGAAGTTTACAATGGCACATTACCACAAAAGATGGGCACTGTTTCCACCCTTATAACAATTTGCTCCTATAAACTTAGGAAGGGGCAGAGCCATAGTCATAAACACAGGCATGGATAGTAGGTGACTTCACATGCTATCTTCAAATGTTTCCCAGCTCTTTACTCATAAAGACTCAACAAGCTTATTTTATTTTTTAACTCTTTAAATAAACAATTCATCTAGCCTAGGAAATAAAACTAAAAGGAAAAAATCATCAAATAAACTACCACAGGAGCCAAAAATCCTTCACTTTTCATACAATGAGGTAGCCCCATTTCTCAGGTTAAACTCACATACCAAAAAGAAGAGGTTAAGGAACATGTTTAGTAGAAACAACAGCATAAAAACCACCAGTATTATTATCTCTACGGCTACTAAGTTTGCTTATAGTAGAGAACATAAAGGCCAAACAAAAAATTTCTTATTCATGAAAACCAAAGAACAGATACTCATTCCAAATCTTACATGGTTTCTGAAAATTTTTTTAGCTATCCTGCTTTAAGAACCAACAGCTCTGCTATCATTTAATGAGATGTTAGTACAGTAAAGGCATTTCTGTGCTGAAAGTAACCAAAACCCAAATTAGTTAGCATCTGGTAAACATATTTAACACTAAATTATACTAGTATTTATATAATACCATTTTAACCTAAGATACAAGGATAAAGACCCCAAGCCAGGGAAAGTAAACTTTTAAAACCACCAACACTGGCTATTTTCAATATTTCCAGGTTTTTGGTTACTGCAATCAACAATCACTTCAAATTCTAAGATATTATGTCCTAATTCTCAGGCATTAATACTGTGATGGTTCTAAAACTCTTAGGGGTGCTTGACTTGCTCACACCAAACCACAAAGCATCTCCTGGCAATGCTAGACCAATCTCCATACCACAGCACTAACTCTGATAGCTGACAGGAATAACTTTGTACTTTTATGTCCTAAAAACCAGGAATATGAGACATAGGATTCCCTGGGAGGGGAGCTAAAAGAGAAGAAAATGAACTGAGATTTCTATGCACACATGGTAGAGCTGACATAAAGGGAGAAAGAGGGCAGACAAGATAACCTGGCAAAAAAGGACAAGTAGTGTCTAATAATTCAAACAGCAGAGGATCCCTTGCTTCCACCACCAGTGTTGATTTACTAAAGTCACAATAGTGATTTCTATTAACCCAAGGAAAGTAACCATAAGATACTCAAGTGAAACCCCTCCCCCAAGAGCTCAAACTAAAAATGGGGTTTGGATCTTCCTTAAATGGAAGATTCTTTTCATTAAAAAGACAGTATTTACTTGGCCCTTTCAAGGCACTTTAGCATCATCAATTATTTCTCAGTGAGACAGCACAGGATTACCCTAACCATTTCACTGATGCGGAAACAGACACCAACAGCAAAGAACAGGGACAGGAAGAGGGGTGATAGGAAGCATCTGGGAGCAACAGGCAGGCAACTAAAAAGGAACAAACCCACAAGAAAATGAGAGTCACATCTGGCTTATAGCTGACCATCATAACACTTGTTATTTTTGAGTTTAGAGAGATTTATGAAATATTTTGGGGGGAAAGTGCATTAAAATATCAGTAAGTTAAAATTAGTTACAGCCTCTATTATTTGGTCATAAAAGTGTCACTGCTTTGATTTAAAAATATTCAATCTTGGGCTGGGGATTTAGCTCAGCGGTTCCGCCGCCTGCCTCCTCGCAAGCACAAGGACCAGAGTTTGATCCCCAGTACCAAAAAAAAAAAAAAAAATTCAATCTTCAGCTCACATGCTGATTTCATTTTTTTACCAACAATATTCTTCCATCAAGGCTCAAGAGCAACAAACAACCTATTTTATCCAGAAAATAATTTCTCATAAAAATGTATAACTTTATACAATCACACCAGAAAAGCACAAAAATCAACGTGTTAGAAATAATTTGCAAGTACAACCGAAATTCTGTTTAGAGAATTATTAAAATACTGACTCTGAGCTTGGCCTGTAAGGAAAACAACTACTTGTTCTACACTCATAATGATTTTAACTATAATCTTAAAATATTCAGAAATAAACTATTCATGGGCAACCTTAATTATCCAGAAATTAGCACTTACAGTAGGTTCTGGATAAAGGTACCTTGAATTGAACTCCAAACAAAAGACAGCCAAGTGCCGGGAATTTAACTCAATAGTTCTGCCTCCTTCCTCGCAAGAGCAAGGTCCTGAGTTCGATTCCTAGTACAAAAAAAAGGTATGTCGATTGAATCATACATCAAAAGGACTGACCAATTGCTTCAAGAGGTGCTGTCACTGACCCCAAAGTTCTTTGTACACTTATGACATCATTACTTTTTAAATATCCTCACACATAATGCAGTACTGTTACAGTCATCTTTTTTCCCAAACTATCTATTCCAAAACAAAGCAGGTTATTTGGGGTTAAAAGGTACATACACCATTATGAAGCCTAGAAGATTGCAAGAAGATATATATGAAGTTTATTCAAAAGTTTTAAAGCCATGTTGTTTTTTTAAAAAATCAGACTATTTTAAGCTTATGGATAAGGCTATATAGCAGAACAAATACAAGGCATCAGGTGTGTTTCCTTTCTCAAAAGTCCCAATATGACTAACTTCCAAAAGCTTATATTCACAATTTTCCTATTGAACATATAAAGCCACAAACATCCTCAAAGAACATCCATCACTGGAAATGCTGATAAGTAATTAAGAATGGCAAAGAAGGAATTAGCATTATTGAAGAACGTTTCAAGCAATTAACTAAAAAGAATGAACTATGTGTCTGAGTTATTCTTATAGTAAAGTCGCTTGGAGTAGGAAGTTGTATTCTATAAATGTACATCTTATAACGCTCGTCCCTTAAAACTGAAATATGCATAATGCTGGAAGCATTAAAAAATGCAACAGCATCTAAAGCTAGCTTGTTTTGGAGGGGAGGAGCATCTCTAGTAATTCCAGTAATCATACGAACATAAGTTACTTTCCTGCCTCAGTTCCTCCTACCAACCCATCCATTCATTTTCTACAGATAGTCTAAAGTCACTCTACAGATCAGCCATAATCGTTAATCTAATTCTTCAAAACAGAGACAAATTCCCAGTTGCAATCCACTTCGTGATGTATAATCAATGTTTAACAACCTTTTTCAAAAAAATCAATACTCTTAAATAACAAGCTGTAAGTGAATACCTGAGGATGCCCAAATATTTGTGCGGGAGGGGACGGTAACAGTTCAGCCCTTGAACTTACGTATACAACTCAAGGTATGAAATCGATCAAATTTTCCTATACTCGTTTTCCCTCTGGCTCTTCACACTCAGAGCACAAAGTCCAGCCAAAGAATAAAGTGAGAAAGGAACCACTTCAGGACTGTTTCTAAATGAAGGCTGCACTGGCCTCTAGACTTAAACCTTGACGGCACGGCGACCGCCTAGTGGCCCCGTGAGAAACTCGGAGTCCCCCTCGCCTTCCCGCCCGCCAGGGACCGGCCTCTATCCTGCGGAGCCGTTTCGCCCTGAGGGAGAGCCACCGGCGTCGACCCGCGTGAAGACTGCGGAGCGCACCTTGCACAGTAGCGCCTGCTCCCCGCCACAGGCGCATCCTTTCGGGCTGACATTCCCTTCCAAAATCCAAGTTACCAAAGTCCCCGGAAAGCGCTAGAGTCCGTCTCTCAAACAACTTGAAGTCATCCCTACCCTTCGGCCCCATCAACTACCCTCAATGCCCCCAGACCCCGGCCCGGCCTCACCCACCCAAGGGAGGCTGCTCGGCAGGGCACTGTCCGCGCAGCCTGTAAAGCGGCAGCTAAGGAAAGGCGGCCCGGCGTTGGAACGCCCCGAGGCAAGATGGGCCCGCGGCCGGCGAAGGGAATCCCGGGGAATGAGGGGCGGCGCGACGCGGCTGAGGAGGGTCCGCGGAGAAGGCTACGAGAGCAGGGAAGCAAAGGTCTTGGGGGTGACGCCGCGAAGGCGGACGTGCAGGGATGCGGGGCGAAGCCTAGGCTGCACACTAGCTTGGCGGTGAGGGGGCGTTCCTCGCGCGGAACCCGCGGTACAGCCACC